GGCCGAACTTCATCAAAGTTCTCTTCCGCCGACATCGAATATAATATCGCGTTGTCGTGCATCCACGCACATACGTAGGTATACCCGTGTCGAATGTCACGTCTGAGTCTGCGTGCACATGTATATACGCCAATAGTCGCTGAAACTTTAAGCTAAAAGCACCATCCGCGTCTCTTGAACTGAAGCTTCCGCCATTGCGATCGCAGCCTTTCAAATTCAAATGACGCACGGATTATGTAGAATTTAACTATCTCAATGTTCTCTGACATCAAGTTAAACCGTCACGACTCAGGTTTGAAAAACACGCCGTGTAATAATTCCGTTTCGCCGAAGAGAAATTTCACATGTTTAATAAATTTAGTGATAATTATAATTCTGTTCTATTTCTGAGTGCATCGTACATTTTAAGATTATTTTTATATATATCTTTTCTCTCTCTCTCTCGATTTGTGGTCCAGATTAATTTGAATAGTTTAATTATTCAAATATTTTACAATCAGTTAGATAATTTAATGGAATAGGAAGTGTAACTCACATGTAATTCTCATTTATAAATATATATACATATCGAGATAAATTATACATAATGCATCTATTTTAATGTTATAGAATACCTGCAGAGGTTAATAAAATAATTGATACGAGATTCTGATTAGCTGGGGTTTGAATCGCATAATTGTGCTCCAGGAAGTCACACTATATCTTATTTTGATTAATCGGAACGCATTACGTGATCCGTATCCCAACCAATCAGGAGTTCACTAACAATCACATGACGCGTTGATCAGTCTCTTCTTATAGGGTTTCTAGCCCGTGTAGGATTCGGCCACACATGGTATTGCCTGTGCTGGACACCGCGCATCATCCTTGTGTACCCCCTTGGAGGGGGATGGCCTATCGATCGCGCTGTCGATCGTATATGGGCAATATAATCCACAATATCAATAAATTGTATCGATGCGTATTATTAGCCATAGTATCGATATACCCTAATATCAATAAAAAATGTATCGATATTAAGAATATACAAAAATTAAAAATTAAAAAATACCCACATTACTCGCAAAATAAAAGTATATAATAATGATAAGTCTGTTCGTGTTGCTTGCTCTTTTTGCACTTAAAATCTTCATGTTTTTCTCTCTTCAATATTCGAATGTATATCTATCTATTACATTTTAAGTGCAAAAATTCTTGTGAATTTCAAGCAATACGAACAAATCTATGTTTATTGAACGCTTGCTCTCATTCCAGTTGTATAAGTTGTATTATAGTTCAGTCGACAACAAATAACGGCTGCGTTCGGTTTAGCGCTTACAGCGTTTTGTGAGCATCATTTATTCTTGTTCAACATTTGATAAACAATAAGGATGAAGTGATTCCGTGGTAAACGCTGTAAGCGAACACAGCCAACGAAAAGCCGAGACAACAGACTTTTGCATAACGCTGGCCACATAACGCATAAAACATAATTAAGGCATAAAGGTCCATCTACAATGAAAGTAGTAAATCGTAAGTCATAAGAAATTGACCAATCATAGTCGATTATTCTTCTCATATTCGACTGTGATGGATCAATTTCTTTTTTTTTCGGCTTCTTATTTTATTTCGGCTTATATGACTTACTACTCTCATTATAGATGGACCTTAAGAGAATCAATCAGAGTATGAAATGAAGAACTCTGATTGGTTGATATTTTTATGCTTATCCGTTATACAGCGTTATGTAAAGGTCCATCTACAATGAGAGTAATAAATCGTAAGCCGTAAAAAATTGATCAGACACAATCGAATATGAGAAGAATAATTGACTATAAGTGGTCAATTTCTTACGGCTTACAACTTACTACTCTCTTGATGGACCTTAAAAGTCTGTGCACCGGCCCTAAGGGACAAAAATTCGAACCGCAGTGCCCGGTAGCACCAGTAGCACCCCAATCTCACGTATCGAATGTCGATATACGCTATAGTATTGATATATTAATATATTGGTACATTATTGTACCAATATATTTATATTAATTTATTAATTTATTAATTATTAATTTATTTATTATTTATTAATTTATATTAATTGATATTTTAATTCGCAAATATCGATACAGTATCGCCCACCCTTAGATACTAAAAAACTAAAAGGGAGCAATTTTTTATATTTATCAATATGGACGTCGGAAGAGCACACGT